ACCACCCCAGCTTACAGACTACGAAATCCATCCTGGAGCCCACGCACCCACAGGAAGCCCCCGCAAGCTGACATTGTACCACAATTTTTGTGTCTGCATCTAAGTATAGCAGGTTTAACAAAGAGATGCACTTGCACAGTGCTTTGCAAATAGTACAGAGTGATCTTCTTTAGTGCCCTGTTGTGCACTTGTTCAGTGCTTCGACCAGAAAGCACCTGCTGAGCTTCATTCATGTCAGGAGACAGAACGAGCACACATGCCTCACAATTTAATTTCAATTTGGAAGCATGAGGCCCTGGCTGTTGATCAAGATGAATCCAAGTCAATGCCCTCCTGCCAGAATCGAAAAGTCCTTAGTTAGCTGCCATAGTAGCTACGGTCTCTCAGGGATTTTGGCACTTCAGCTTCACTCTCTGCCGCCCAGTGAATTGAAAGTTTTATCCATAAGTGGGTCCACTAATTATTTCGGAAGCCAGGATCACCAGGCTCAGGTTGAAGATTGTTGGTGCTAGACTCTGTAGATTTCGCAGCACACTAAGGGTGCAGTCAGCAGACACTTAACACTTTTGTGAAATTACGCATTCGGGTGGCCTCGCACAGCCAGTGGGACCCTCCTTCAGTGCCTGATCTGGCCATTTCTTAAATTCGTTCTTCGGGGCTATGAGCCGGGGCTGTGAACCAGTGGCGACACCGACTGTTGCTAAGGATCCTGCTGAGCATGGAGCTTCTCATCTGGCTCGCCGCGACCTAATTTCTTACATGTCAGCACGTACTTCTGCAATATGAGATGCAAACGATGATATAGTCTTGGGGGACAGAGATAGACTACTTTGTTGCGAGCATACCGATCAAAGTTGACTAGTGAAGGCAGGTCCACTATTGAAGACACTGGAGAAGTGCAGGCACTGAAGAAGTGCAGGCACTGAAGAAGTGCAAATGCAGGCACTGAAGAAGTGCAAGGCTCCGAAATCATTCAAGCATTGCACATGAACATGGCTTTGCCAAGCAATGAGGAAGTGCAATCCCCATTTGTAACTCCTCTCTCTATGTCATGCTATAAATATGTGATTGTCATGTAACATATACACATATAAGATAGCGGCATACATGTTTATATAATAATAGTGAAATTGTCTGCTGCTAGATATAAGATAGAGGGCAGGTGCCGGCTGCAAGTATAGCTTTCGCTGTCAAGTCGGTGTCGTAGAGTCATCACATTGACACACAAGGCTAAACAAAGCATGATATACACGTGTGCATGGCAATAAAAGCATGATGCGAAACCGAACATATATTGCAACATCGCAACTTCCACGTCAGGTGGATGAGTCCCTGTGGGGTCTGCGACCTGGCTTCTGTGCTGGCATATCATGCATGCAGATAGTTGCTACCTTAAATGGTATTGCTCATCTGATGATTGGCGCAGATTGATGCTTGATTTGAATTTGGTGCTGCAGTGCTTGAAACCCTTCTTTCTGATCAGAAAGCATTTTGCTCTTGAGGGTTGAGAAGTAAAGATCCACTGCCATGGCGGATCTGCCTTCAGATGATGAGTGTGGTCTGGTGCTGAAGGCTCCCTTGCAACAGGTCAATTTTCGGCCCGTGGCTGGACCTCTTCGTCAATCGAGCACTGTCCCACCGGCGAAGCTTCTCGGCTGTTCTTCGGGATATGGGTCCAGCCTCTCATGCCTCGTTTGTGTCCTTGCACTTCTTCAGTGCCGTACACTTCTGCAGTGCCTGCACTTCTCCAGTGTCTGCATGCAAGGATCCAGGGTCCAGCGGCTGATGCTTGCTGCTCGAAGAATTGCTTGGATACGTTCTTGCATCAGGGCAAGCTCCAGAGCCTCATCAAGAAGATAGAGAAGTACACCGAGGAAGAGAAGAACAGATTCCTGCTCAGCATCATGAGCCTTTGCCCGGTTGTGCCCAGGCGAGCAATAGCAGCATGAAGACACAGGTGTGCCGAAGCTTAGTTGTTGCTGATGCCTATTTCTCGGAGTGATAAGGACAGCAGTGGCAACTTGCGATACCAGCTCATTGGCCAGCACATCTGCTCGCATGCGTTCGCGAAGCTCTTGAACGTCAACTACAAGAGAGCCTCTTTCCAGCAGCCAGCCCCAACCGAGAAATCATTGCTCATTACCCATGGCTTTCATTGCCTCTGCTCATTTTCACTTAGGTCAAGAGATTGTTGCCGGGCGTGGGCAAGGGGCTGCTTCCAGCTGATCTGCGCAGCAAAGCCTCGACCGTTACAATCGACTCTTTGAGCCCGAAAAGTGAAAGCGTCGATGGCTACTTGCACTTCTGCTACACGTCCGTGGCGGAACCTCTCAGCGAGACGCATTGCGACGTTGACTGTCCGTACCTCAAAGACTTATACGTCTCCGCGGGCTCATTCCTCTCAGGCGAGTTAGGAGGCTTGCGACGTGATATTTTTGAATGCTGGCTTTTCCTGATAGGTGGTTCCATCGATGACCTCGTGGTCCTTCCAGATGAGCCTGGTCTGCAGGAAGCTTTGTTCCTGGACTCCGATCCAGTGGCACTCGCTGCTGCAGATACCGGACCAGGCAATCAAAATAACGCCTATCTTGTCATTCTCATGATATAGTTTGATTCCAGCTCAAGTGTCTAGAGAGAGAGCCGGAGGCACCGCCCGCAGACAGCCGAAGTGGATCCCGCACCAAAGTTACGAATGCATGTATGCGCACTACCAGCTGTATATGTCTGGCAAGGGCACCGAAGAGGAGCCGGCATCCTACAGGACGTTTTGCAGAGCCGTTTCGTCAAAGCTCAGCACTACTTGGAGCAAGCTCATTCGCATCCGGAAACAGTCGCAGCATGCAAGGCTTGCTACTTAGATTGGCACGTGTTGGAGTCACTTGGGTGTGGCAGTCGTCGTGTTGTGCTTTTCGAGGTGTAGTCGTGGGTGTGGCAGTCGTCGTATTGTGCTTTTCGAGGTGTGCCACCTGTTCTCGGTTCTCCCAGAGGATCAAGAATGCTCTGGCAGAAGCCGACAAGATCCCATTGCAAAGGGCGCAGGAGCAACACATCAATCAGGTGATGTCGCATCGGACCTTGTGCACAAGGCTCAACCACCTCAGCGAGGAGTCGACTTCCAGACCGGGGATCTCGGATCCGACCGGGATCTTGAAAATAGACCTGGACGGTGCAGATCAAAGCAAGACCTTGCTCCCCAAAGGGCTCGACAACAACAAGTTCCTGTCGTCCCTTTGGCGCGCGCAGCTTCATGTCATGGGAGCTTTGGTGCATGGAGCTGCTCGTCCAAGCAGAAGCAGTGCGGAATGGCTTGTAGGATGTTGCGCTGCATGAGATAACTACCGAGTTGATTCCTACCTGCAGCCGTTCAGGTTGCAGAAATCTATTACCTCGTTTCCCCGGACGTGATGAAGGACAGCAGCACGGAGGTATCGCTACTGTGCGATGTCCTGCAGACCTCAGAAACCATCTTGCGGGAGCGAGACATTGAAGTGCCACCTTATTTGGCACTGGAGGCCTGTATCTGGGATGGACTTTCTTCTGAACATGCCTTGTGCTCAACAGTCCAAAATCACGAGTCCTCGCAGCCCTGTGCAGACGGACAATTGTTGCCGAGAAGCCAAGAACCAGGTGATGCTGAAAGCCGAGGCTCTTTTGCTCAGCCAAAGAAAGCCACAGGGCATTGACGTTGGCCATTCTTGTTCCCTGCAGACCGAATGAACTCAGATTTTCACAAAAATTGTAGCTCAGGTTCAGATCGGTGACGCATCTATACGGGGGCGTCGGGCATACACATAACTATCTCGACCAAAGGTTCTCGGTCATGTTTGGCGCACTCGCGAAGCGAGAAACTGTCTTGCAAACACCTCAGGACTGACCAAAGCAAGAATTGAATGGCCAATGACTGCATTCATGTATGTTTGCATCACATGTCGTGAGGATGTGGCCGAATGCATCCGACAGAACATGCGCCCCGGCCGGGGTAGGAAGCTGATTGTCAAGCTCTGGGACCAGAGCCTGGACTTCAAGCACTACATCAGCAACCTGCCCTGCTCGATCGGCGGATTGGTTCCGAATCCGCAGGGCCACAACGAGATGCACACGAACCATTCCTGGAGGTTGTGCCTTCGAAAGGACTGCAACATGATTCAGTTAGTGCAGCGTGCGCGCTAGTTCTGCCTTGGGGTTACAGTAGAACCTTCATCAAAGGATTACCTGTAACAGGACCTCCCCGGCTACGACACACCTGACACTTGGGATTTGCAGAACAGCTACTCCGAAGTGGAGCCTGACCCTATGGACGTCATCCTCATGGTGAAGGAATGGACTTGCTCAGACAGCCTGAGTCAAGCGCCGATGGTTCTAGTTCCGAAGAAGATTGCTGATTCTTTGGATCCTGCGACGTTGCGCACACAGATCAAGAAGAGGCTGTCCGACCGCGAACGGCAGGAGACGGAGACTTACCTTTTTCATACCATGATTGCAAGGGTGATGCGATGTTGTTTCCCATCCTTTGCGTTTCTCAGGTTCCTGAAGACAGCTGCGAGTGTATCGATGGAGCCGTGGTTTTTTCACCAAGCCGCAGCGTACTTGCGTGGTCTGGTGGTGTCTAGGATGCACCCGGACCGAGACTTTAGGGTCGTGATAGTGCATGCTGTGTCACATTGTGTCACAGTAGACATATATTCAAAAATTCCCATGGAGTTGTAAGGAAACCAACAAGACGGAATGTGACCACGGTCCGCGGCCTGCTCTTGCTGTTCCAAGATGGGCATCTCCGAGTGAGCCTGTTCGCTCACTACTTGAAGCGGGCTGCCCCGAGGGGTACCTTGTCTGCTGTGGCTGTCTTTGCTGGGTACCTTGTCTGGTGGTCTTTGTTACCATTCTTGCCGCAAGTAAGGTGGCAGAAGTATGGTCCGGGAACACCCCGCCCAGTGACGATCGTGAATGCTGTGCCCGAGAAGCCTGCCAAGCAGCAGAAGAGGAAGAGTCAGAAGCAGCCCGATGCTGAAGGCAACAAGAAGCGCTGCCCAGAGCCAGCTGCCCCAGCGCCGGCCGAAGCAGTGCCGGAAGTAGCTGGGCCTCCCGGGCCGGATGGGCCACCTGCAGGTCCAGATGTGCCACCTGCAGCCCCAGTTCTTGGGTGCTCCAAGTGCAGATACTCGGTGATCGGCTGTAAGCAGTGCAGAAGCCCGAATTACAGGCCAAGAGGTCGTGGTCGCGGTTGCGGCCGTGGGGGACGTGCTGGCGGTGATGCCCGTGGATGATGGCTGTGGATTTTCATCTTGTTTTGTCGGCCATAGAGACCGATCGCATCGCATCAAGTCTGCGATGGTGCAGCTTCCATGCAGCAGCTGCAGGGTTCATGACTGGCAGGTGTGCACACACACACACTAGATAGAGAGACTTTCTATATTATGCAAATTATGCAATGTCGTGCCCCTGTGTGTCATGTCTTCGGGTTCTGAAGTGATAGCTGGCAATAGCTGGCAATGCTTCTGCAATCGAGCGATCTCGATTACAATCTCGTGCACTCCTGGGGCTGCGTGAAATATGTGCCCTTAGCTTTGCCTCGTTCCATGTTTTCTTGGCCTCAGCCGTGCTACAGAAATCCCAAGAAGTGTCCTCATCTGCAGCTTCTGAGGAGGCTCCGTGCGCGTGTGTGCATGTGTGTGTGTGTAGATGGCAAGCTCGCTAGACGATGACCTCCCCAGCGATGCGGAGCCCATGGAAATCCAGACAGCCCCAAGGAAGGTGAAGCCGAAACGGGAACCAAAGCAGAAACGGGAACCGAAGGCTGGCACGAAGACACCAAAGCGACAGGCGTGCACGGAGACTGAAGAAGACAAGCCCAAGAAGAAAGAGAAGAAGGATTCCAGACCCTCCATGAACCAATGCTGCGATGAGCATGTCGGACAGTTCCAGACTTATTTTGTCCCATGCACTGTGATTGGTGATGACAGACAGTCGTGTGCACGAGCTGGTTTCTGATGTTGTAGAGATACGCTGAGGCCTGTCCTGCCCCACGCTGACCTCGTGCCTGAGGAAATGGCCATGGTTTCCCGAGATTTGTCCGGCTGCGACCTTCTTTGGGAGCTTTACAGTCCACCCCGCCTCATCAATATCCTGTCCGACAAAGGCTACAGTCACAGTCGAGCTTATGACTTGGTGACCGGCTGGAACCTCT